GTTCGAGTCTCCATCTGATTATGAAGCTTACTTTGGGCTAGTCACTCACTCTTAGCCTAACTTACCTCACAAGACTGTTGTTACAGGGATAAAAATGGAGTGGAAGAAAATCATGTAAGCTGCCTCAGCTTCTCTGCAAAAGGGATGAAACTGTGGAATATAAATAATAATAACAAGAGTAATAGCATGAAGTACAAGTGTATAATCCTTTACCATTTGTCAGCAAGCTCAGTTCCTTGATTGCTGACTCTACTCTTGTGCATTTGAATGTATCCGTTACTGCTTATCCATCACTCCTATGTCTAGATATTTCAAAAATCACTTCCTTATTATGGAAGTTCCATATCTTTGGATTTGTGAGCCCACAGAAGCTTTGTAGAGGTTACAACTATAAATTTAATGATTTCATAACAATTGAAACATGCCGTTTGAGAAACAATAATATTTAGGCAGGATGCTATCCTGCCACAGAACTCTCACTGCTGCTTTTGTGCCAGCAGAGCAATCACTCATGCAGTGGGGATCTTCCCATTTCAAAAGTAATTGCAGAAATGAGCAGAAATGCTAGTTCCCAGTTTGGTGTAGGCCATTCATGCTCATTTTTGTGATCTGATTTCCACTTGCTTGGAGAACCACACAATTCCTGTCGCATATTCAGTCACTCCCATTGGCCCATGGGCATAATCGGATATGTCCCTTTGTATAGTAGACAAGCTTCTAAGTTGGAGTCCTGCAGTGTAGGACAGTTCTGAAGTGATCTTTGCATCCACTTTGGGGTCAATTTCATCAGGACAGTGTGGTTTTGAGGGCCATTGTCTGGCTGCTGAACAAGCAGCATTGCAGTGGTGAAGGGAAGGAGGATGTCTATGGGCCCTCCACAGGAGATCCTCTGCTGCCTGGATCCTCAGCAGCTGGATGCTGCCCTGCCTGATGCCTCAATCTGCCAACCCTTGATGCCTGTTCTGCTTGAGGTTGCCTCCTTCATCCATAGTCAGGTGTCTGACTGGGGCCTCTCAGAGCCTCAGTTGTGGTTCTTGATGTCCGAGATCATTATTTTTAGCTAGCAACATTAGGAACCTAACCTGGGGCTTGCTGCATAAAAACACCTGCATTCTGCCACTAAGTAACAGCCCTTCCTGTCTGTTAGCGGCCTACGTGGTTTGCAAAGTGTTGATCTTAGGAAGGGTTGGCTCTGCTTCATCGGATTTCATTTCTATGAACTGCATGGTGGACATCCTCTTTTGGGCAATAGGAAATATGGGAATTTGCAGCAGCAATGCTATACAATATAATCCTGTTATGCTTGGTCAATTCACACCATAGGATGTTGCAGGGGAAAATCAGATAAACTGAACTTTCATCCAAATTTCTGTTCAGTGTGTGGCTTCCTGCCCCCAAAGCCTCTAGCTCATTTTTCCCCCATTTGTCTCTGACAGATGCACACAACAGCACACCAGACAATCAGGTTCCCTGAAACCCCAGGATGTATAAAATAAATCAGGGCAAGGAACCAATTAGCCAATGGTTTATGCAGGGAATCCTGGTGATTCCTAAGTCAGTGGGGCTTCTGATCCCTTGCAGCTTTCACTTTGTGCTGAATTCAACCCCTAAAATAGGTTCATTTCTCTCATGCTTATATTCTTTTTACCTTGCAAGGAACCCAAGACAGCTTACATAATCCTCCTCCTCCTCCATTCTGTGTTATCCTCCCAACAACCCTGCATGGTAGATTAGTCTGAGACAGTGACTGATCCAAAGTCACCCAGTGAGCTTCATGGCTGATTGAGGACTAGAACTCAGATCTCCAGAGACCTAGTTCAACAGACGGTGCCATAATGGATAGCTCCGATAAAACTCAAAATAAAAACTGCAGTGGGTAAGGAGCCCCACTCTGTTTCCCCTGGCTTTGTGTTGCTTGGCCTTGCCTTCACCTTTCCTGCCCAGACACCTGTTTGCCTGCGGGGTGGGGTGGGGAATACAAAAGCCAGTTTACATCAGACTGCAGTCAAGCTAGAGGATATGATCATACAAAAGTTTGTGTGGAATTTTCTGTAGAATGGGAAAGAATTAAGTGAGCATTATGCTTGAAAGTTCTGCAGTAAGGATTAATGAGGAATCTTTTTAAAATCTTGAAGCCAATTACATCTCTGTGCTTTGGGAGGTCTTTGAGGTTAAAGCCAAAGTGTTTGACCAGTTTCTCCTCTTATTATAATGAGTCCCAGATTGCAAAGATTATATCATTTGTGTTGGAGGGGGCGAGAAATGCAAGCTGTCTTGCACGCCAGGCCTGTACTGTGCTACATCATTACGGCAGCAGCTTTTTGCACACCACATTTTCTAATGGATGGCTTTTTCCGTAATACATCACTGGTGTGACAGCACACTGATGATCTACAACTCAGAGTGCTGTAATGCTGATCATGGGGCTGTGGCTGTAGTAATAATGTGGGATTGCTCCGGGGAAAAGGAAAAGCTGCATTTTTTAAAAAGGTGAACCAAATGCTTATTATTGGAGGGGGCGGGGGAGAAGAAAGTGGGGGAATGATCCAGGCAGCTGGGCTGAGAAGCTCAAGAACTAAAGGCCCATCTTAAGGGCTGTAATTTCCAGAATGGGGAATTTGCTTTTCATGTCTCCAACTGTACAGTTCAAATGAGTCCCATCTGCCCACATGGCCAATAAAGGATAATAGCAGAAGCCCAGCACAGCCTGTGCATCCGACGGTTGGAAATTAGCACGCGCTAGCAATGCTTGCAGCTGCCAGTACATCCTGAGCAGGCAAAGAAGGGGTTAACCTGGAGGTTAAAGACATGCCAGATACTACAACAGAGCAATGTGCCACACCTAGCTCAGTCAGGTCTGGCTATGCTCTGAAACTGCTACTTTCCTGCATTCTGAACCTGAGAATGTTTTCTAAGAGGAGATCCCATGGATAGAATCTGGGATTTTCTACATGCAAACCACATGCTCTTATTGAGTTACAGCCCTTCGTTTCCAGAAATGTCCAGTCTTTCTCTGGGACTTTCCCCCATATTTACATGGAACTGCTACTGTGTCCAATTAGAAGTTTAGAAAAATAGACTTCATGTTTGTCAAAGAAGTGAAGAATGGTTCTGGCTACAACCTGGTTGTGGGAGGTCCACGTTGATTTATATTTCCACTTTTCAAGCATTGGAGAAATGCACTCGGACATAGATCTGATGATGCCTAGAATCTGGATTTGTACCTTGTGTGTATCTCCCCTGCAGCAGGTGTCTTTATAAAAGATTATGTAACCAAATCCATAGTATTCAAATCCTACCTCTGCCATGGACTTCTTGGGTGACCCCAGGAAACTCACCCTCTTGATTGCATCATCCCCACCTGCAAAAGAAGGCAGTTCTTTTAATGGGCAGGTTTCACGTAAAGGAATTCTTTAAAAAATGTTGCTTTATACAAGTATATGAAAGTGCATGAAAGCTAAATAATGCCTATGTAGATGATTATGTATTCTTTAAACTTTGTAGGTCACTGTGTCTTCTGTTGGAACAGGAAACTGGGATAAATATAGCACATGCTATTTGCTCTCGTGTTAATAGCAACAAACCAGCAGCCACACAGTTAAGGGGCAGATAATCCCAGGCAAAGAAACATGATGCATACACATCTCCCTAAGAGGAAATCATGTCTGTGGCTCTCTTTAGGGGTGAATGTGTCCATAAAATACTTCACAGGCTTGTGCATAAGCTTCATGCCCTCCTTTTTGCCCTGATTATTCCCCCTGGGCAGCTTTAACGCTGCAATAACCACAAAATCATTTGGGTCAAGAGAGATTTCTACTGGGTCATCTAATCCATCATATGACACCCAGGCAGCCTAGGTGACTGATTGGGATTATTTCAAAACACACCTAACGGAGTCTGCATTGCAGTGAGGTAATTTTAGATTCAGGACTCACTGATCTTATAGCAAGGCTTCCTTCCATGGATATGATTCTGCTGTGAAGAACATTTCTCTTCCTCCCATACCAACTGCCCTTCCATGCTTTCCAATTGTTTCCATATTCTTGAATGCTGACATGTTAGATGAATATCAAAACCATTTGCTAGCTCTGATCTTTTTTAACGTGCTGTGCGTATGAAGTTTTGCATTAGACAATATTCAATTTTGCTCATCTGCACATGGTGTCCACTGCCCTTTTTCTCCCATGGTCAGCCAGGCCTACAAATTTGGTTCTGTAAATGGCTCTGCAAAACAGCACTTTAGTGTTTCCAGGGGCAACCTGAAATCAGTGGAAATTCTCATTTCTGGAAGGAAGCAGGTTGGCAAGCACCCTGGAAGACAGAATGAAGATCCAGGGCAATCTTAATAAGATTGAATGCTGGGCTGAAAACAACAGAATGAGATTCAGTAGGGACAAATGCCAAGTCATCCACCTAGGAAAAAGAAACCAAATACATTGATACCAGGTAGGGAATACATGGTCAACAGAACTGAAAAAGAAAACTTTGGCGTTATTGTATACAATAGGCTAGCTATGAGCCAACAATGTGATGCAGCTACAAAAAGGGCAAATACTATTTTGGGATGCATGCACATGGTGGGCATGTCGTGAGCAGAGCCAGCTGGTGCTGGAGGTCAGACTAGATGGCCTGGGAGGCCCCTTCTGACTCGTTCTGTTTCTATGTTTCTAAGTATTGCTTCCTATATTCTTCACTAGTCAGACCTCATCAAGAATACTTTGTCCAGTTCTGGGAACCAAAATTTAAGAAAGATGCAGAAAAGCTAGAAACGGTCCAGAAGAGTGAAACAAAAATGATCCAAGGTTTGGAAACAATGACCTTTGAGGAGTGACTAAGAGAACTGAGCAAGTTCAGCCATGACTGAGAAGACTGAGGGGGCGGGCATGGTTATCACTCTATAAGTACCTCAAAGGCTGTCACAAAGAGGAAGATCAAGTTCTCTTCTTGCTGATGCCAGAGTGTAGGACATGGAATAATCAATTCAAGTTGCAACAACCCAGATTTCCTCACTGTCAGAGCAATAAAACAGTGGAACCAATTGCCAGGAGAGGTGGTGGACTCTCCCACACTAGAGGCATTCAACAAGAAACTAGAAAGCCATCTAACTGGGATAGTGTAAATTGGTGCCCTGCAACAGCAGAGGCTTAGACCCGATGGCCTTCCTGGCCCCTTCCTGGCCTCTGCTGTTCTATGGTTCTATAGCAGAGCCCCCATAAAGAAGTACCATTGGTGTGCTTTCACCAACAGGTCAGCATTGCCCCCAGAAGTGTTCAATTGCCATTTCACAAGCTGGAGGCCTGTTTGCAGAACTGAATGATGGGACTGAACAAGCTAGTCACAGTTGCATATTGCCATCTTAAAATGTAGCACTATCTTGAATCCAAGGAATTTGCTTCTGCTGTCTGTATCATGTGCCCCTCATTAGGGCTACCCTGGGCTTTTGCTCCAATGTACTATTCTAGTTGTACAACCAAACAGATTGTCCCAAAAATGGGATTTCAGTAATTCTCTGGATAACCTTTTGAAGGTCATATGAGAATTTTGTTTCTGCTCACAAAACATGCAAGCATGTCCCAGTCACAGCTCCAGATATGGATACAAGGAGTAGAATGCATTCTTCAGAAATGTTTGCAAATCGTTGAATGCCTGTTCACACTAAAATATGCAGCTTTAAGAATATGTCATTTCAGCATTTAGTCTATGAGAAAAATTTGCAAAACTTTGGAATCATGTGCAAAGTTGTTGGGTTTTTTCTGTGTGTGCACAACTTTCAGGTTTGATCACATTCATTTGGCACAATGTTCCTGTTTACATAAAACAAACAGATATTATGACCATAAACACAAATTGGCACAAATTCATGCTCAGAGAATATGGGTGAATGTGAACATTGCTCATTTGTACATCTGGAAGCATATTTCTTTGTTCTTTGGTGCCTGTAATAATACTACCCTCTAAAACTTCCTATTTTATTGGAGAAACTGAGAAAGTGGATGGTGACTGCAGATTTTAAATAAATATTGACCAAGGTAATACCTGCACATCCAAGGCTAGAAGGTTTTCTGCAACCTATGACTGCTCAGCTCTGCAAAAACTGCTCATGAAGTCAAACATCAAAGTTCATCAAATATCAGAATTAAATAGGTGACCTCCAAATGTCGTAGTAAAACCAAGGCAGTCAGATATCAGATGGAAATGCACAAGTGTCCAGTTGGAGTCCCTTGCACACCAACAGCTATAGATCAGATCATTTTCTCTCTTCTACACAAAATTATAAACTAACGTTAGCTTGTCTGTTTTTATTAGAGCATTGATTAGAAAATGTTTTTCTCAGCCTTTTTCTGCCAGAATTTTTCTTTTTCTTTTTCTCAACCACAACATGAAAAAAAAAGTCACAGAAATTTCTTGGAATCTCTTTGCCATTGTTTTATACCCCTCCCCACTGCCAGCACAAATACACACAGTGCCTTGGAATGATATTAGATCTGGAACAGTCTGGATGAATGACAATAGTGGTCAGACTGCTAACACAGTTTCTGCTGTACTTGCTTGCGGTAGCATTGAAATACCAACATTTGGGATGGAGAGGATGATGCTAATGGTAAGTCTCTCCCCCTAGAAAAACATCAGTCACCCCAAATCTCCCTGCCCACACATAGGGTGGAAAATTTCTAGAGGCCATTTGCAGATGGTTCTTGTTAGTGCATAAGACAACCCAGTGACCAGCTTGATCTCCAAATTGTATAATGCAATGGACATCTGAAGGTTGACATCACTGACACCAACCATCACACCTTGCATGGATTTATAGTTTTATTTCAGGATATATTTCACTGTTACAAGCTGTAGTTCTGCAAAAGCAGAGGCATCCACATGAATGTGCCAACCAGTGGTACCACCATGGTACAGAGGACCTTCAGCTCGGTGGTGGAGCACAGGCATCCTATGCAGAAGGATGCATGTGCTCCCCATTCATTCCCCAGTTATCTCCTGGTAGGACTAGGAACAAAGCTGGCCTGCAACTACAGGGCTGCTGCCAGTCTACAATAAGCTAGATGGACCAAGGTCTACTTTGTACAAGGCAGCTTCCTATGTTCAGTAGACAACATAAGTTCTAACCTCATTCACACTTGCTTTGGTGATGGAATCCAGTGCTCCATACTGGTCCAACACTGGACTGAATCCATGGACATCACCCAGGCAGTAAGATAATATTGGAATTCATGGTTACAAAGTATGATCTCACAAAAGTAATTCCACTTTCCACTCAGCAAGCTTTAAATGCAAAATTTAACCTCCTTTCTTGCCATTACGATCTTCTAGTCAACATTTCTCACATGTGTGCTTCAGTGTTGTCCAGTACGTCTCTGCTTGCACAGCATTAGCAGCATCACAAAAGATATTTTTGTCCTCAGCTGCCTAATGTGTTCTGAATCTCTTTTGAATGGCTGCCTTTGAGAATGGCTTTGCTGCAGGCAATGTTGTTTGCACACTAAATGATGCGAGGTACCATGCCGGGTCTCAGCCCATTGTCTTCCTGGAGTGCCTTTTTCTCCCATCCAGTCTCCCTTTTCCATAGGTTACTGCTGTCACTTTGTATCATCTTCAGGGTGGGTTTTTGTTTGTTTGGTTGGTTTGGACAGCTGTTCGATGGGCCTGTGCCACTGAAAGAATTGTGACAAGAAGGGAAGACATACTTGGATTCTCATGCTGTAGCAAACGGAACATTCCCCCTTGGCAAAATGAAGCCAATTGATAGTGAGCACGGAGACAGGAATGCCAGAACAGCCAAGCTGGGGAACAGATCTACACAGATCTACGTATCTGCTACACAGATCAGGAGAAAAGATATTTTTGGTCAGGTGTGATGTTCTAGGGCAAAATAGAGAAGGTATTCATTATCAATAAATACATAGATAATCCTTGGTCATTTCTAGCATTCTGTTTGGTAGCAACCAAGTGCTGGTTTCTACCAAAAGCTAAGCAAAATTGGGCCATTCCTGATACTTTTTCAGTCAAATTGGGCTTCCCTCTAAAGGCAGCAAAACTGAACCACTCCAGAACAAGGCTTCATTAGTGTTTTGGACTCATGGAATCCTAGCAGTGGTATCTATCCATGTTTCTTCAAATTCTGCAGAAATAAAAGTATGTGTGTTACATGAAACTTGAATTTTTCTGAAATTCAACTGGTATAATCCCTTCCTAATGGGTTCCTGCAACTATCTGGAAATTTTGACCAGGAGAAAAACCTCTATAGCCAGTTGTGAATTTCCCCTGACAGGAAGTGCGAAGCCTCAGATTTCTGAACCTCAGCTCCAGAACTCCAGATTGGGCCGATTTAATTGAACCCTTTTCTTAAGCTTCAAATCAGGGTCTGAGTCAACCCTGGAGATCAGTGCATGCACCTCTGCTATTCAGTGGGCTGAGGAGTGCCAATGAGGGCTTATACTCATTTCCACTGCCCACTACATGTTGGAAGACAAACTTCTGGAGCGGTGGCCCTTCTCTCCTTAATAGGCTTTCCACACAATTTCTATCCAATTGTGTATCGTGTGCAGATGGGTAATGATAAGGTAATAGAAAGGGACTCTCAGGAGTCTTCTCCAGCACCACAATTCAAAGGCGTCAGTGCTCAGTTTTCCTTATGGTCCAACTCTCACAGCCATACATTACAACTGTAACGTATGGGAACTGGGAAAACCATAGCTTTGACTATTTGACTATAAATGGGTTGCCATTTCCTTCTCCTGTGGATCACCTTTTGTCAGAGCTCTCTGCTAAGACCTGTCCATCTTGGGTACCCCTGCACGGCATAGCTCATAGCTTCATTGCGGTATGCAAGCCTCTTCACCACGGCAAGGCATCCATGAAGGGGAATTGAGAGGTTACCAGAGTTCAAATCACCTGTCCAAATAGAGGTATAGCGGGGCCACCAACCAGAGCTGGTAGAAAGCTCTCCATCTTATTCTCCCCTTGACTGAGAAGCAGTGGAATTTCTCTCAGGCAAAAGAACCCCAATCTAGCCAGCACCTGCACCAGCACCAGCAAACACATGGCTGATGAGAAGGTAAGGAAGTTGGTCAGATGCTGCAGAGGCTAGTAGTGGAAATGAAGCTGGCAAGGTGGCAAACCCAAGTAACCCTGCCTGCCCCCAGAAAGCATATCCAGGGCTGTGAGTTTATGGCTGCAGGCATCGGATCTTTGTTGAATCCCCCTTCATGCCAGGTGGGAGGCACTGACAATCAGGCAGACCTTGGAGCACTTCCCTCCTCTTGATGGCAGCGGAACTTTATTTATTAAGAATACATAAATCCAAACACTGGAAGTCATTTCCTGGCTAATAATGAAAGCACAAAATGTCTGAGATTCAGGTTCTCTTTGCATGTCAGTATGATTTATTTTTTGTGTTTATTCAGGATAAATGGTTGGATTCCCTTCCAGGGATGCGTGTGTGTGTGCGTGTGTGTGTGAAAAAGGCAACTAATTTGTGATCTGTATTCCTGTGAATACAATAATCTCTCAGGGTCAAACACATAAATATGAAGCCGGTCCTCATGAATAATGGGTAGCTGGAGGAAGGGGGTGTGTTGTTTGTTTAAATCTTGTGAAAGGTCAGACAAGTGGGAGATGGAGAACCTTCTAACTGCAGGTTCTTCAGAATAATCAATTGTTTTGTCCTTTGTTTTGAAAAAGACATCTAGTCTAGTCCTCATTCAAAAATGGATTCTTGTTGGTAAGAAGATAAAGAACTTCCAGGAAAACAGAGTTTCTGAAATTTAAGGAGGCAATCCTGTTGCTCACTCATGGACGAAATAAGGAAAGAGCAGCAAAGCTGCACTAGAATTGGGAAAAAAGATTCCAGAGCTGCTTTAGGAGGTGATACTGAATTGAAAATTAGTTTCTTCTGCATTACTGTATTCTGGTAGATCAGCAAAGAGAATATCCCAGGATGGGCCCAAAAAGAAATACATATTACTACAATCCAGTTGTATGAAGGATATATGAGATGCCTCTCACAGGTCAACATGAAATAACTAAAGCCAAATTATGGACATCCTTTGAGATGTTTTAAACAAATAGAACAGTAACATAGAAGGTCTCATATGTCAGCTTCCAAAGAGACCACCAGTGGTCTGAGATAATATTGCTGAAGCAGAGTGTTCCTCA